GACAAAAAGTCCAATTTGTGAAAACGGGGACGTCATGCGCATGCGTATTATGTGTTTAGTCTTTTTAACCGCATTTTTAATTGTTTTCATGGATCCGTGTGAACAGGGATCGTTGTGACAACGTTGTCGTCTGTATGCTAAAAACGCAAAGAAAAACTTTTCCAGTACATTATTGTTGTGTAAACGTACCCATAGATTGTACTGAATGCCAGCTTTTTTTTCTTTTCTTTTTTTTTCGTCCACAATAAGGATTTATTAAGTCCACTTGTTATATAAACAAGTAACTATGCTTCTAACAATAGGTCAAGAGCTGTCGTACCAACTTTGTGATGCTGTTTGTGAATGTTCATTGAAACTATGGTTTTGGGAAATAGAAATGATTGAGAAATGATAACTATGGAACTTGCGACCATAGTTGGCTAACAATGATTTTGGGAAACACCCTTAACTGGGACTGAAATGTAGTCATTAGCGTGGTAGTAAGGTATAAATCTCCATAGTTTAAAGACCCTTTCTTTTTATCATTTTTCAGACTTTCATTGGTCTCTAAACTATAAGGGTGGGATAAATTGTGGTCTAGACAAAGACAACCATGACTAAACATTGAGGGGAAAAGGTGATGGCTGTTTTATGGCACGCGATGACAGATGGACAGTGAATCGCAGCACAGGACATTATTCATATAAGTTACATTTCTTGTAAAATGCTTGCTTGTATTCTCTGTCTGTTTTTTCTTGTGTGAATATGTAAAATGTTTCTCACTGTGAGTAATCTTAACGAAGCCCCGTGAAAGTTTTACAAGGTTTAGTAATGTTTTACCAGAGACCCAGCTGAGTTTGTGACTGGCTCTTTTCTTCTGATTTATCATAATGAGCCAGTGAAAGATGGAGAGCTTGAGTCAGCAGTGATCTCAAAGAGAAGTCAGAGAGTAAATGGTGACCACACACTTTCAGGTTGAGATGTCCTGTCAAATGTCCTTTTAGACATGGCATTCTAAGTAAGCTCCCAATTGATCATATAAGCAGTTATTACACCTGACCGTCATCTCATCTGATGAAATTGTTAATAGATCAACACACACACGTGGGTTTTTTTTTTCATGTTTTATGGGAACTATCCATAACCCAACCCCTAAACCTACCCATCCCAGAACACTTTCTGCATTTTTACATTTTCAATAAACTTCCCTCAGTATTTATAAGCTGTTTTCTTCATGGGGACAAAAAAATGTTCACACAAGGACAAGAATTTCGGATATTGCCATCTTTGTGGGGATATTTTGTCCCAATAATGTAGGGAATACTTGACACACACACACACACACACACACACACACACACACACACACACACACACACACACACACACACACACACACACACACACACACACACACACACACACACACACACACACACACACACACACACACACACATTTGAACTATTTATTTAAGTCCACTTAAAAGAAATGATTTACAGGGACACAAATACTATAGATGCAGTCAAATGCATGCACATAATCAAGGACCAGTGGCATACAGCAGGTCTTCACAATATTTAGCGTCACTCAGTTGTTATGGATACAAGTAGCACCGTCTCCGCCAGATATGACGGCTGCCTATAATAGCAGACAGAGCACAGTACTTTGCTAGCCGTTTAGCCCTCTTTTTGGGCATCCCTAGTTGTTGAAGCCCCCTTACAACCAGCCTGTGTGTGTGTCCTAAGCTGCCAAATATGAGCACAAGAAGTCGGCTCTGATAACCTAATTCTGAGATGATGTTTAGAAGTGGTTGATATTTAATCATCTTAGTCATAAAGGCTTCTTCCATACTAGAGTCAAAGGTACATGCAACCTCCACAACGAACACCTCGCTGATCTCCTCATTAATCACAACAATATCTGGTGTATTTGCAAGCACATGAGAAAAGGTTTCAGAGCTATTACAATTCTGAAACATAGATGATTTTACACAAGAATGTTTGTACATTTTTACAGCAGATAAGAAATGGCTTGATATGTCCTTCACTATAAGATCCACTATTCTGTCGTGGCGTGCGATGTACATTCCTTTATAGGCATGGCAGCCATTCAAGATGTGTGGCAGTGTTTCAGTGATCTGTTCTGAAGTGTGATGCAAACAATGAGGTACCTGAGTTGAAACCAGATAGAAATATTGAGTCTGGTTGGAAGAACTTGTAGTCTGGCTTTTACTGTAAAAATGATAATGTCCTCACAGAGTGCAGTATTCTTAAAAAAATGAGTGAGAAACAGAGTGATCAGTGGAGGAGAGACACACAAGTTTCCCCTGAAGTTTCAGTCCAGTCCATTGTTGTTTCTGATGATGTTGGTGTAGGTCCAGGAGAGTTGGCCGGGCCCCTGTGGATGTTAGGGTGTAGCTGTGACCACTAATGTAGGGAATACTTGACACACACACACACACACACACACACACACACACACACACACACACACACACACACACACACACACACACACACACACACACACACACACACACACAAAGGTTTTAAATAATGATTTGACAAAGCATTGCCTGAAAGTTTAATTTAGATATTTAGATAGATGATTAATGCAATACAAGACAAACATGATGGGTTGGCTTATTTATAAATAAATAAATGAACAAATTTATAATAAATGAATACAAATTTATAGTCTAAATTTAATCTGTATCCAGTTTGTTTTATTAGATTTTTTATTTATTGATATTTATTTATTTATTCATTTGATTTTTCATTTATTCATATTTATTTATGTATTAATTTGTACACCTGTTGTACTGACTTTGCAGCAAAGGAGTGTGGAGGAGTGCACACAGATCAGGAGAAGGTTTTAGATTCTCCTGGTTATCCAGAAGACTACCAGGATGAGCAGATTTGCTACTGGCACATTCGTGTGCGCTACGGCCAGAGAATACGCCTGCAATTCCTAGACTTTGACATTGAGGAGGATACAGCTTGCCTCAGTGATTATCTGGAGATCTTTGACAGCTATGATGATGTTTCAGGCTTTGTTGGCAGGTAAATAATACCGTAGTTGTTTATGTTTTATTCACTATAGGCCTTTTAAGTTACATTTGCTGAGAGTTTCCAATTTAACAAAAAAATAAATGTAATCCAAAAATAATAGAATAACTTTGTGTCTATTCTGGATAGATACTGTGGGGATGAACTTCCGGAGGACTTCATAAGTACAGGTCTGTTGTTGTATTATTTTAAGTTCAACCGTGCTTCTCTTGCATTCAGTTTGAATGCATTTATTGTTATTATTTTATTTCTTCTTTATGGTTAGTGAACTAGAGATCAGTGATAGTATCTTTGTTTCTGTGTTGTCTCTTGCTCAGGAAACGTCATGACTCTGAAGTTCCTCTCTGATTCTTCTGTGACGGCTGGAGGGTTTCAGCTACAGTACATCGCTGTGAACTCCTCTCAGGAGTGAACTCCTCTCCTCACAGCGAGATCATGCTGACACCTTCTCTTGACCACTGTTTAATACACCAATCACACTTCTTTTTACAAGTGTATATATATTGCTTCTTTAACCACAGTGCAATTTAAAGCTAATAATAATCATAAATGTAGGTGTATGGGCATGTGCACATTTCAAAAACTCTTATAAAACAGTTTTCAAAATTGTATTTAATGTTTTACAGTGTTTTAATGTCAACAACATTTAACCAAAATAATTCAATTGAAATCTCTTGGCTTTAATAGAAATAAACCCATTGGAAATGTAAGGTTTAAAGACATGATGTGCATATTTTTGTGTGAAGTGCGTTATTTCCTTTTAAAATAATCTGATAAATTCAGGTGGTACAACTACAGTCTACAGTATATATACAATTTTGGTTGTACCCCCTGACATAAAAATGTATTTAAACATTTTGAAATGTTATTTAAGAACTGAATCTTGTTCATGACTCAAAAATATACATTGCATCAGTTTTGAAGGATTGCTTCTTCTGAAATTAGGGCTATGACAAAGATGATTGCTTTAAAAAAAACATTTTATTTATGGGACAGTTTACAAAAAATGAAAATCCTGTCATCATTTACGTTGTTCCAAACATGATTTTCTTTTTCTGTATAACATAAAAGAAGATTATTTTTTTCAGGGATTTTTCTTGAGTGTTTTTTGTGTGTGTATGTAGGCCTACATATAATATAAGTTAATGGTAAGTTAACCAAAGCATTTTTTGCATGTTGGTTTACCAACATTCTTCATAATATATTATATGCCTGCATAAGTCATACAGGTTTAGAACGCATAAGGAAGAGAAAATTATGACATAATTTCATTCTCTTGAGGCAAAATTTGTTACTGTGTAGACATTCTTCGTAGCAACTCTGCTTAACAGAACATAACTACTAATAAAAAAAAACATAATTTGCCAATACAAAGTTATTGAACACTGCAGCGAATAACTGATGGAAAAAAATTGTTGAACGAGAACTTAAGAGTGCATATCAAATTCTTGATTTTTCTTCAGAGTAAGAATTATGATGCAGGTTACACTTTATGGAGTGCCATCTGAAATTTTCTTCTAGAATGATCATTTTTATCAAGCTCGTATGTTTATATTCAGTTATTTCACTTTAATGGCAATGACAATTACCTATTAATTGTCATTAAAGTGAAATTACTGAACTTTAATATAGGAGCTTGATAAAAATGCTCATTTTAAAAGAAAATTTCAGATGGCACTTAGAGGCTTTTGCATCTGAAGTCTTCATATTTTACCTTATGAAGGTAAAATATGAAGATACCTCAATATGAAAATACCTCAATTCTCTTTCCCTCGATCAGAGAATTGAGGTATATCTTTAAATGTACATTTGCAAACTGTAATGTTAGGTGAGCAATTTTACTAATAATAAACTAATCAAATGACCATAGTGTCTTAATTTGATGTCTTTTCATTCAATAAATAATTTATGAGAGGGCGGAGTTGACGTCGGGTTGAAGGTGACGCGTCAATCGCGCGTCATGTTTGGCGCCAGCATTTTCGCGGGGAGTGAGGAGTGGACAAACGCAGCGCAGTCTTGATCGTTTACAAACACTGTAGTATAAACCCCTCCAATTTCTCTGATATACATCGTGTGTCGATGATATCGCCTTCATTGGTTGTTAGCGTGTCCTCAAGCGCGAGGTGAGACATCTTGAGTTGTGTCTGTTCATGAGTGTGTTCAGGGGGTTGGGTGGGTAACATGATGATGGTAACTAGCTCGCTAACTCTGCAGTCTTTGTAGGGGAAGTTCCTGTTGGATTAGATTGATTACAGCAAAAACTTACATGGCGTTTTAAAGTTTTCAATTAACGGCATATTTTGACCTCTGTATTTTTCTGCTCGCGAGGTGCCCACAAGTTGTAACGTTACGCTCAACGCACATGTTAACACAATAGCTTTAAAATGCAAACGATAATGTGTACTAATATTTGCACATTAGACAGATAAGTTAGACATTAGTGCACACCCATCAGTAAAAACTTTATATTTCAAAGCAAAGACGTTACGATCTTTCGCAGAGAGGTTTAATAAAGATGGACGGCGTAACGTTATTGTTATTAGCCTCTCTGGCTAGCTAAACGTCGTATTTAGGGTTTATTCTCCAAAAATGTGTCCTTAATGAATAGTAGATCAATACAAGAGCACAAAATAGAAATGTAGTCAAGTCATTAGTGCCATTTGTGCGTCTGATATCTTATCATAACAAGAGAACACGATGTCCCGCATGCATCGATCTATTCTAGCTCACTTTCACTACCAATATAACATGACATGGTTAAAATATTAACTTTTCATACATGCTGATTAACTTATGCATAGTTTTTCATAATCGACTATTAATCGCAGGAATGTGTGATGCAAAACTCCCAGCCAGGGCTGTAGCATGTGAGGTGGAAGGTGAGAGTCACTCTAGGGTCCTAAAGGTCCAAGGGGCACAGTAGTTTCTAAATATATTTTGAAAAGATTAAGAGGTCCAGAATTTAAAACTTCAGCCCTTCTCCGGTTACTCAACTGAATTGGTACTCCTTAAAATTGAAAACGTTTAATACATTTTTTTTTTTTTTTTGCATTACATTCTCTCTTGTAATTAATGCTACAAGCACATCTTGATTTCGCCGAGTTAGACATATATTGTTGATCCTGGAACAAAATTCCTATCTGAAGCTGTAATCCTAAACATATCCCTACCCCTTTACCTAACCCTACCCACAAGCTATCCCTAAAATCAGAGGGAAATGATAGATGAAAACACTGATGAAGAGGCATCTAACCCTGGTTGTAAGCCTGAATTTGACAAACTGTAAACGCGTCCCTCAAATCTGATTGATTGATTGGCATGTTGTTCCAGGAACATGTACTTTGTGAAATCAGGTTCTGCTGATGTGCTATGCATTGCTTCAATGTGCTTTTCAGGTTGTGAGGATGATGGCTGCAGTGCCTCTATCTAGTGCTAGCCTCCTTCCTCTTCTAGACTGTCTGGAAGATGAAGCAGCTGGGCTGTCAGAGCAGACAGATGCCTACATCACCATCGCAAAGTAAGTGTTAGCTTACAGTTTTGGTGTCTGTCACTGTTGAGTAGGTTTTAGTCAAATGTATGTATTTCTGCTTTATTTTATAAGTTCTTTTAGCATTGTAGTGTTAGTTTTGTCAGCAACTACTGTATACACTGAATTTGAAATTGCAATTCAGAAGCTGTTTGATGTGTAGTGTTAGTTCATTTAAAAAAATAGCATTTTTGTCATTAACTCACCCTCTTGTCATTCCAAACCCATTACACTTTAGTTCATCTTCAAAACAAGTGAAGATATTTTTAATGAAATCTGAGAGATTTCTGTCCCCGTTTACTTCATTTTTTTCATTTCACCAAAGTTGTCTCGCTTAAAAAAGTTCTTAAGAGGTTGTAAACCAAGTCCATGTAAATAGAGCGATTTAATCCAAGTCTTCTGAAGAGACTTAAATGCTTTATAATGTGAACAGATTTCATTTGGGTTTTTATTCACATATAAACTAGGGCTGGCCAAAAAAAGTTATTTTTCGATTAATCGTTTTTTAAAATGTGGTTGATTCGATATTGATTCTCAAAAGCCATGAATAGATTTTTTTCCCCCGTATTTCTGCAAACGAACTATCTGATTGACGTTAATCTTATTACTAGTCTTCTCCACTAGATGTCATCGTCTTTTTTTGCCTTGTGCAATGTTACAGTGGGACCCTGTCATTCATTCAGTTCTTAACATGCTGGATACAGGTGCGCTTTTCAGTGTGAAAGACGTTTGTTGAAGGAACTGTCAGTGTCCCGATCGGGCCAGTACTGCATGGTCACGAAAGTTTACCAATTTAAACATTGAAGTGAAAGAGAAGTTTTGTGAGCGCGCACACCCAGCACAGACAGCGTCCAAATAATACAATTAATTCTTTCACGTCTCCTTGCACCTAAACGGACAAATTCACACATTTATCTCAAAATGCGCGCTTTGCGAGTATCCAAGTAAACATAGTCAGTTATGGCTTAAGTAAGCAGTAGAGAAAGAACGCATGTGTATCCTTATTGGATCCGTGCTTTAGTCTTAAAGTGACAGCAACCTCATATCCTTGTTGCTGTCTGTTTTTAATGTTAATCAAACTGCAAAAGACAAAGAGAAAATCACTCTCTGCTCTTCACTTAACTTTTTTGTAACTTTAATAAGGATTAACCTTTATTTAATTTGATTTTTTACTATGAAGATTATATGCAGTGTTATTTTACATTTAATTACTTTATTCAATTTCTGTACCTGAAAACTACTGTTAGACCTACCTGAAAAACTTAAAAAGCACTGATTATTTCATTTGTATCTTTGTTCTAAATGTATTTTTTTGTGCTATTGCTTGTAGTTTGATTATTTGCTCTTTTGTTCTTTTTTTTTATTAATGAATGTTTTTGTCTTTAAAAAACTTTGAAATTTATATTAGTAGTTTTAGCTGTGGTATAGAAAATGGAATCGAGAATCGTTAAATTTCACTGTTATTTAAAATATTGGGTGTCAAACTTATTTATTACAAAACAAAGATACATTGGTAAAAAAAAAAAAACCTAATTTATTCACTTATTACTTTTTTGTGGTGGGGCTAGTGAATTTAATCATTGAATTCATTGAATTGAATCGAAAATCGAATTTAATTGAGATCTTGTGAATCGAATCGAGACATCTGAATTGATACCCAGCCCTAATATAAACGCACATACTTAATGGTATAGCGGAGGATCTTTCCGAATTTTAGAGAAGACCCGCCCTCTCCAATTTTTTTAAAAATGCACATGCGCAACACTCTATTTGCTCCCGAGAGGGAACGCCTATTAAACTTTTACTAGCAGTGATTTTAAATGGATTTCTCCAAATAGCATGACAAACTTTACCTGTCTAGTAAAATCTTCGCGACTGCGGCATCAGTGGGAAGCCCAACCTGTGCTTTTAGCGCACGCCAGCGTGTGAAATATTCACCCAAAATCATTCTGGTCTTGTTTCTATATTCTGCGGCCTTTCTCTTATCATACACTTCGTATAAATTTTTTCTCTTTCGACCCTCAGCCATTTTCAAAGGAATGGCTGAAACCGTAACTCATCACACATAATACACCTGAAAGTGCGCATGCGCAGAAAGCGAAAACTACATAGGGACGAGCACGTACGACGGCCTTACGTAAACATATCACCAGAATGATTGACACTTAGGTGGAGCAATAGTATAGGCTACCCACCCGGAAAAAGAAAATCCTCCGCTATACCTTTAAGCACATCAAATATTGTGTAAATAATGCTCAACTGTTTTTGCTTGATGTATGATTAAGTTATTTATAGATTGATTATAAGTCTTTGTCGTTCTTTCTTTCTCCTAGCCGTCTCAATGGAGAGGAAGGGCGTCAGTTTCTGCCTGTGGTTGTAAAGCATTTTGCACGTCTTAGTAAAGTCCTTTTGGTAAGTTGTCGTCTCTGTGAATTAAGACTCATTCACTGGCACTTTGTGTATGTAACTGAATATTTAGCATTATATTTCTTTCTCCAAAATAAACAAGAAAATGTTATTTCAGAAAGCTGTATATCTTAACTACGCATCAACCCTGTAAACCTTTTTTTTTTTTTTTTTTTTTAGGTTCATATCTCCAGTGAGAATGAGGAGCTGTGTCAAGCTGCACTGCAGGCTTTGGGATTCTGTGTCTTCCACTCACACATCGTTTCAGTCATACCAGGTATATAAAAAGTTTAATTCTCTAGTATAATATACCCCCCCCCCATAATAAGTAGCATCCATAATCCTTTTTTTCATTCTTTCCTTCAGCAAATATTTCAGAAGATATTCTGTCTACACTCTGTAATGTTGTGGTAAAGTCCAAGGAGAAGTTTACGTGTACACGAGCATTATGGGTGATTTCAAAACAGAATTTTCCGCCGGAGGTGGCATCCAAAAAGGTTTGCTTGAAATAAACTTGTTTTTAATGTTCTTTCCCCCTGATTTTCCATCTTGTGTGGCTAAAATGTTTTCTACATTTCAGGCCCCAGAGATTCTCAAGAGTCTAGAGGCCATGCAGACTCGAGAGGTTCAGTCAATCCTCATTGACCATGAGTCCCTCAATGTTGTTATAAGGTTTGATGAAATTTCTCTTTCTTGGTACTGCCATCTTGCAATGTCCTTCATACTTGCGATAATCTGTAAATAAGATTTTGTGATGACCGTCAGGTTGCTGGAGCAGGCCCCCACTCAGATGGCTGCTGGAGCCGTGTGCTGGGCCAAGCTGGTTGTTCCTCTCGTGGTTCACTCAGCCAATAAAGTGCGCTTGCGTGCGGCAGCAGCACTGGAATTGGGCATGCCTCTTCTTCTGGAGAAACAGCAGGAGGTGGCGGCCATTGTAGAGCCAATGATGTCCTCTGTAAGTGTTATGCGGATGTACACAGCAGCTTTTTTTTTGTTGTGCATATATTTATGTATGCACTCTCTATTGCTCTGCTGCCTCCAGATGCTCATCCCTGAAATGCAGAAGCTGTTTGCCTCTAAGAATGAGACAAATATGCTGAAGCTCTGGCCCTTGTTTGTGAAACTTCTGGGGAAGGTAAGATTCTCAGTCACCAAATGCTGCTCTTCAAGTCTCCCTTTTTCAGTTCTGAATCTTGATGTTGTCAGTGTCGATAAGGATGTGTTTCTGTCTCTTTTCAGTTGCTCCACAAAGGCGGTGCTTTTATTAATTCCTTGCTGTATTTAGAGGAGCTGGGTTTCCGCAACTCTTCCCCTAATATTAAGAAGATTGCTTTCATAGCTTGGAAGAGCCTCATTGACAATTTTGCCCTTAATCCAGGCAAGTTTCTTTTGAATTTTGGTGTAATAGCCACTGTCATGGAAAACCTGAGAATATCAGAGAATTACAAAATTGTGTTTTGTGGAAAGTCATGATAATAAAGTCATGGATATTTTTTATGCTTAGCTCAAATATTTTATTGGTTAAAAACTGATGTTAGTGAGTGTTTAAAAATCCTCGTCTAGTGATCATGACTGACATGCCATTGAAATGTATTGGTCAATAAGTGTGACAACTCTTAGTAACCGGCCAGCGACAGGTCATGATTATTTAGCATTCTACATTTTCTCCCCTTATGTTTTAAAGTCGTAACTGGTTTCTCTTGAGCAGATATCCTGTGCAGCAGTAAGCGTCTGAAGCTCCTCATGCAGCCCCTCAGTTCCATCCAAGTCAGGACTGAAGCTCTTCTGCTCACCAAGCTGGAAGTGTGGTGGTATCTCGTAGTCAAGCTCGGGCCCAACTTGTCCGCTAACTTTGAGCAGGTAAAATTCACTGTTTATGTTGATAGATGATTTTTGGTCTTTGCAGACAGTTGTATCTAATGTATGGCCATGGTTCCAATGGTTAATTACAGCAACAATTTCTCTATCCTTTCTTTCCACCTCCTTCTTAAAGGTTGGTGTGCCTCTACTACACAGCACACTTCCTCCTGATTCTCCACTGCAGTCCCCCACTACACCTGCTCGAACCCCTAACCCAAGCAATGGCACCCCTAATACACCTAAAACAGGTACAGCTCATTTCCTCTCATTGTTCCTTCATCATAACATCATATAAAGGAGATGGAATGAGACGGCAGCTTAGATTAGTTTTATATGTAAAATGTAAAAAAAAAAAAACCCACTTCTACTTAAAGGTACAATATGTAAGAATTTTGTAATAAAATATCCAAAAATCACTTGCACAGTGTGATATATTTCCTGCAGTTGTGTACTTACAATATCCCAAAAGTCTCCAAAGATTTTTTATTTCAGAGAAATTCCAATTTTAAATAAGTGGCCGTCGCGGAAAAAAATGTCGCCTGTCAATGACGCAATATCCACGCTTTCCTCGGTTTCCGCTCGTACTGCCATAGCCATGACGTAACCATGGCGACAGACGTGGACATCTGCGTAGTGCGTAACGTTTAGCTGCACGCTGTTGTTGTTGCGTTCAAACATTATGGACCATGGCAAGCAGACTTTCTTCATTTTCCTGTTCTCTAGGCATTCCCTCCTGCAGCACGACGAGCACTACTCCTCGCATGAATCTGAACAGCAGCATGCAGGCGTCTCAGTCCTACCGCTCCATTCAGCTCCTGGGACTAGAGATGATTCTGCACTGGCTCCTGGGTCCAGAGGTCACGGCCATAGCTGCTAAAGAAAGTCTTCAACTCAGCTTGGGTAATCATACACAGTATTGTCTGAGCTTTGGAAATTGTTTTCTATCAGTGATGCATTGGGCATCAAGGTCTGTACAAAATTTAACATGTGTGACATAGGGGTGTAACGGTACACAAAAATCACGGTTCGGTACGTACCTCGGTTTTAAAGTCACGGTTCGGTACGTTTTCGATACAGCAAAAAGCAATAAATGCCAGAGAATTTCCTATTTGTTAAAAGAAAGCATATTTTTTAAATAAGTGTGAGTTTTCCTACATCTTGAAATTTTCAGGTCTATAAATGGGGGTCATCTTTGAAGGATGAACAAATAATGTTTTGGTCATCACATTAAAAATAACATTTAAATATATGAAGAGTTCAGATGCAAAAGCCATTTGAAATTTTCTTCTAGAATGATCATTTTTATCAAGCTTGTATATTTAAGTTCAGTAATTTCACTTACATGGCAATGAAGATTACCTATTAATTGTCATTTGAGTGAAATTACTGAACTTAAATATACAAGCTTCATAAAAATGATCATTCTAGAAGAAAATGGCATTTAGAGGCTTTTGCATCTGAACTCTTCATATATTTATTTATATAATATTTGAGTTTTGAAGTGCTGGAAAAAGATGTGTGAAGTACTTGAAAGCATTTCACTATTCCAGCCAAACTGGTTACAGTTAGTGTTACTGTATTAAATCCATGGTGAATGTTGCTGGTCTGTGGACGTAAAGTATTACTAGTTCATTCACGGCACAATGTTTCTCCTGGTTTCCACGTCAGCGTTGTTTGATCTAATAGAGATCTACGGTTAATAACGGAGAAATGTGAATGCTTCTCACTAGATCTCGCCGCGATGTTATTTCAGTGGCGAATTCAAATGTTTTCTTTACTGGATCTCATAGCGCTGTGTAGTAACAGTGTCGCTTGATCGAGATCGGCTCGCGCTGCACAGATGTTGCTGGTCCGAACTTATAAACGGTCCGTGAAGCACAATAATGAGTAGCGCAGTTTCGTTCCGCTTTCATTACGCTTGCCATTTGATGTTGCGCAACGTTGTGGTGATCGCGCCAGCGCGAATTTTGTCGGCAGGAAAAATGGTCCAAGGAATCGTTCGGTTTGTTTGCGTACCGAACCGGAAGCCTCGAACCGAAACGGTTCAATACGAATACATGTACCGTTACACCCCTAGTGTGACATAAATGTGTATTTGATTTGTAATCTAGAGATGTTCATGTACTACTACAGCCTAATATGTTGAACCTCACGTTACGGTGAGAAGTTCATATAATTGCAGTGATGAAACGAAACTTCAGATATAGCAGATGTCAACATATCATGTCTTTTTTTTTTTTTTTTTTTCAGAGCCCTTGACACACCCGTTCCTCACCAGCCCTTCCTTCTTCAGCAGACATGCCTCTACCCTCATATCAGCCATCAGCGATGGCTTCATTACTGTGGGAAAACATGCTCCAGGTATTCAACAATGTCATCTGCATAATGTAGCCTAGACTCCTGATGCCAACTTAACTTTCATCTTTAGTTGTTTGTCTTTTTAAGGTTGTTTATTGTTATTTAGATCAGTCAGTTAAGGAAATGTATGCTAATGCTGTCCATGTTCATCACTTTGAGTATTTATTTTCCACAGAAGCACTTCTTAATCTCATTTGGAGCAACCTGATCGGTTCTGTCAGCACAGCTATAGAAGCTGGTTGGTGAACATTTAAGTCAAAGATAATTTGCACATTCTTTTGTTGTGAATACTGGCTAATTTAAAAAGTTTTCCTGTCACACTCGTCAACAGGTAACAAGAAGGAACGGCAGGGTTCAGAGGTCCTTACGCTTCTCCTACAGGCTCTTCAGTCCATCTTGTCCTCAGATGCTCTGCCTGCTGAACGTGCACTGGTAAGATGGCACTTCATGGTGAAAATGACCTGTTAAATTACTTTGAAGCTGGGTTAAGCATCACTGTTTCAGCATCAGTCTACCATGCTGCTCACTGAACATGTACTACTTTTTTACTAAGTTTTTAACTTTCTTTTTTTGTTAAGGAAATTAATACTTTTATTCAGCAAGGATGCATTAAACTGTTCAAAATTGAAGTAAAGACATTTGTTACAAAATATTGATTTTAAATAAATGCTTTTCTTTTGAATTTCTATTCATCAAAGTATCCGGATTTCCCCCAAAATATTAAGCAGCACATCTGTTTTCAACATTGATAATAAGACATGTTTCTTAAGCAGCAAATCAGTATATTAAAATGTAGGGGTGTGACTAGACACTTATCTCACAAGATGAGACTAGACGAGATTGGGTTCACGAGAACAAGACGAGATTTTTCAGAAATCCTCAATGACAAAATTCATGACTGGAAAAATAGTATGCAGGTGCATTTTGAAATGTTTTAACTAATAATCTTCTAATGCATGTCATTTCAGGTCTACTTTATGAGTATGAATTATCAAATGCATTGAAAGAAAACAATATACAATATACAAGCACTGTAAAATGTTTTTACTGACTGGCTTTTCTCCTGTATGATTTCACATGAGTCTCTTCAGACCTTACTGTACATTTGAGCTTTCAGAACTTCTGATTGAGGCTGTGTGTGACGACCTAACTGAACTCTTTTACACAAATTGAACACAGAAATAAAAACAGTATAAAAAACACAAATAAATAAGTTTTCTCTTAGTCTTATTAAGTGCAAAACAATAAGTGCAGTAAATCGGTTTATCAAACAATAAGTTCAAGTGCAAATAATCAAAGTACTGTAGTGCACAGACTCTTTATAATTGTTGTGAAATTGCCGTTTTATTTTGCACCGGCAGTTATAGAGTTCGTAGCGAGAAGCGAGAGAAACGAGGCTGGTACGTTTGTGTACAGTTGTTCTTGCGTTCCGATTTATACGGAGCCTCCTTTGTCTGTTGTCCTTAACGTTACAGTACAGTCCAGAGATGGGTATTGTGAGACAGACTATTGTCTTTATGCAGCCTAATTTGTGCTCATCAGGGAGCTTGTGTTTTACTTTCACTTTCAAATTCGTGATCGCGCATACTACGTGTATAGGGATTCTACAAGATAGGACATTTATCAGACGTTTTCTGTTGCGCAACGAATCCTCCGCCATCGTCACGCGATCAGTGAATTGTGATTCCTGCTGCACTGATTGCGACGGCAACTCGTGCTGGATGAGCAGAGCAGACTTTTACATTAGTTAATGGTTTTTATTTTTTATAAAAACAGCAAAACGACAGTTGAGGTGAATGTGAGTGTAGCGGTGGAATATTCTATGCTTATTTCACCCTCACGCTCCGTCATGGTGATATATCGCGAGACAGCTTTTCACTCAACGGGAAATCCTGTCACATTTTAGTCTTGCGAGATCTCGTCACACCCCTATTAAAATGATTTCTGAAGGATCAAATGACACTGAGGACTGGAGTAATGATGCTGAAAATTCCACTTTGCCATCACAGGAATAAATTACTTTTTCACATTAAGATTATTACTTGAAATAAGATTTTTAAATTGACAATTTGGCAATATTAGAGTTATTACTATATTTTTCATTACATAAATGCAGCCTTGGTGAGCATAAGAAACTTGTTTCAAAAACATAAATATTTAATAAAATAGACTACAATTCAAATTTTTTTATGTAGGTTGTTGGTTCGATCCTGCTGTTCTAACATTTTCTTTGCTTAAATTATTTGCTGCAGCTTTTGTTGGAAGCCACCATTAAAGGAATCCCTCAGAAGGTGCTTGGTTCTGCAGCTTATCAAGTGGCAAACATGGATTTGTTGAACGTAAGTTCTGTTTTACCACTTATGGTAAAGCCTTGGTAAATTTTCAATTTTTCATCCATTGAATTCATGCACATCTTTGTATTATGAATGTGTGAATAAGATTTTTCCACATGTACTTTTCCAGGGTACACCTGCACTTTTCCTAATACTGCTATTTTACAAAAGTAACCAGCTTTCATCATTTCTTGAAGATGAGAGGTAACCATAAGACTTTTAATTTTTAAGTCTTTTAATACCTAATATCAAGACCAAAAGTTATATTTTGGAGAACTTTTTTTTTTTTTTTGCATTAAACCTAAGAGTTATACTAATTGCTTTATTTACATTGAAATTGTTTGCTTGCTTAACTTGTTTTCTTTGTCATCTGGCAGGTTTTTCTCAAGCCTGGAGACCCTTGTGAGCTGTGGGTTTTGTGGACCTACATCGCCCCTGGCATTTGGAGAGGCTGTTTTAGGAGCGGTTAGTGGGAGTGCGGAGGTTGTAAAGAACAAGAAACAGCTCTGGAGGATGTGGAGTGTGGTGGTAAACCCTCTGACGGACACAATCACTCAGGTACTAAAATCATCTGTGGTATAGAATGAATGCATTTAAGTGCCAGTCAAACCTTGTATTTCACTACTATTGATAAATCATTGTTCCAACATAGACCAATGAAGTGAATCAAGGAGATGCTCTGGAGCATAACTTCAGTGCCATTTACAGTGCCTTGATGTTTCCAGTCTTTCATCTGCTTCCTGGTTCAGCCCTACCCCAGGTAAGAGCCCGTCATAGCTTTTGTACAATGATTTCTCCAGTATTATGCAAGTATTTAATTTTATTTGTCCTTTGACTTAATTTCTTGAATAGATCACTCAGAAAGCCATGATCAGTACTTGGTCCAGGCTTTACAAGGCATTTGCTCGCTGCTCCGCTTTGGTAGCCACAGCTGAGGAGAATATATGCTGTGAAGAGCTGTGTGCCAAGATATCTGCCTCTCTTGAAAGCGATGCTCTGAAAGTACGGCACTTCCAACATTATATTTGGAAAATGTTATTAAATTGTGCGCTGAGTCTATTATAATTGGTCTCATCCTTTATTTATTTGTTTTAGAGTTTGCCTATGCTAGATGCAATAGCAAACATCTTGCTGGTCATCATTGAGAGTATGGACTTTTCTCCTTACACCCCACAATTTCAACAGAAGATGAAATGTAAGGATTTTGCTTCAGTTTCAAATGGGTAAAGTTGTGTTAATGGCACTGTGTGACCATATTTTCATGTGCTAATCCCTAGCTCCTCATACACCTTTGAGTTGGGTACGCAAGAGAAGCAAAGCTCTGGGGAATCTCTCAACCTTCCACACTCTCCTGATGCAGACTCTAGATGCATTTCTTTCTGTGAACCCCTCAGAAGAATCTGTGGAGCCCACCTGTGGAGCTTTAAATGGACTTGGCTTGGCGATGGTCTCCATCTTGTCTACTCTTTTGACTAATATCACACTGCCCACGTTCATACAAGAGGTGCTGTCCACCCTCACCAAACCACTCTCACACCTTTATGAACGGTTCTCCAGGTTTGTGGAGTCTTCTCATCCTTCATACATTCGTCCCCCCCCCCCTTGTGTGACACTGTTTGTTTTTTCATTTATAAAAGTTATGATGAACCCTCAAAGCCCAGTGCAACGCTCGGACACAAGGTAAGAATTTACCCATGTATAAATTTTAAATCGAAACCACAGCAGCTCTGATATGTATATTTATGTTCTCTCTGTTCTAGTTGGAGAAACTGGCCACAGACCTGCTTGGCTGCCTTCAGACACAATTGACTCTGCACAACGATGAGATGCTTGGTCTGTTGTCACCCTTGCTCTGTGTGCTTTTTCCGCACAAGAGCAAGCAAATTCGCACTGTGGTCACTCAGTTCTGGAATGCCACCTTTGGAAATGCACTCACCTTGACTTACCCTGAGCCTCTGAAGTACGTTTTCATGCCATTGCTGGGAATTTGTGTAACATGTTGTGTAGGCAGATTTTCAGATCTTTAAATCAAGTATGCAATTTTTTCCCTTTTGATACTGACAAAGAGACACTTTTTTTCTTTTTCTTTTTTTTTAGGTCTGTTTTAAGTCAGGCTAAGCAGAAAACTCTCTTGATTTTACCTGGTTTTGAAGCTGTTGATGCACCAGATGATTGCAGTGGACAGTATACGGTGCGTATAGTGTTGCTAACAATAATGCAAATCCTGAAGAACGCAGAGCAGTTTACCTTAAACATGTTGTCTCCTCTGTTAGTTTTTAGCTTTTGTTCCTAAGAGCATACTAAATTTATGTTCTCTAATAAGGGTGAGAGTTCTCAGCTGGACACACAAATTAGTGGGGTGAAGATGACCTCTTTGGGAAAGAGGGACTCTCTCCTGGCGAGGGCAGAAGAGCTTAAAGGAAGAGGCTCTGTACATGTAGCAAAGCCAGTGTCTGTAAGTAAAAACAAAAAAAGCATCTGAACTTGAAAATGTCAATGGTGGTGCTTAATTGGCTACAACAGCACGTCCCTCAACAAATCATCTGGTCCCTCTCTAGGTGAAGCTGGATTTTGGATCGCCCAAGCCTTTGCGACGAGAAGCTATTGAGGAGGCGGCATCAGTAGATTTTGTTTTCATTCCACCTGAGACAAAGGAGAGAGTGCTGACTGAGCACCAGAAAGAGGTCAAAAGGACTAAACGGTAAGTTTAAGTTCTCAAGTTTAGACCTCTGCCATGTCATGAAAAAAGTGTGTAATTGTGCAAGGCAGTAAAGTTTTAATTTTATACTTATAGGTCCAGTTTCACAGACAAGCTTGGATTAAGCACGGATTAGGCCTTAGTTTATTTAGGATATTTAAGTACCTTTTATAACGTGCCCTAGAAAAAAACATTACTGGTGTTATATATGTCAGTGCAAGTTGCTTTCAGTTAAGACAGTTCAAACATGCATTCTAGTCTGGGACTAGGTTCAAGCCTTGTCTGTGACGGTCTGGTAGTCTGTCACCTTTAAAGGGATAGTTCACCAAAAATGTTTTAATTGTCCCATGATTTAATCTCAAGCCATCCTAGGTGAATATGACTATTTTCTTTCAGACGAACACAATCGGAGTTATGTTAAAAAATATCCTTGCTCTTCCAAGCTTTATAATGGCAGTGAATGGCACTCCTGATTTTGAAGTCCAAAAAAGTACATCCATCCTTCATAAAAGTAATCTATTTTCTAAAATTTAGTTTATACTATATAAACTAAAATAACTAGCTTTCGACTTGCAACTTGCGCTAAAAGAGTAACTTCTGATGTGATGTAGGAGTAGCTTAAGCTTACTTACTCTTGCGGTTAAAACAAATATGGCTCTTCTCTTATATCGAAATACATTATACCTCTGATATTTATTTTTTAAAATTCTCGTTTTAGACTTCTAATTCGTGACCAGTGTTTTGTTTTGCTCTATCCTCTGTGCTTCCGTGTTTGTCAATGTGTCAGGCGTCAGGGCAGAGATTACTCTTTTGGCGTAAATCGATTTGCATAGGCCGTCTGCCGGAAGCTAGATATTTTAGTTTGTAAAGTTTTAAATATGGATATTTTTCTTACAAAAACCCATCGCTTCGCTTCAGAAGGCCTTTGTTAACCCCCTGGAGCGAAGTGAATTGTGAATTACTTTTATGATGGATGGATGCACTTTTTTTGGACTTCAAAATCAGGAGTGCCACTCACTACCATTATAAAGCTTGGAAGAACCAGGATATTTTTTAATATAACTCAGAAATCCAAATGTAGTAAGGTTTTTAGAAAAATGTATTAAACATCTTTTAGTTTTATTTTTGAATAACTAAACCTGCCTCTCGCCATGAACATAGCCATAGAAGCTGAAATGGTGTCAAAAAAGGGAAAGAAAAACAATTATAACTCTGATTGTGTTAGTCTGAAAGAAGATACTCTTTTGGGGGGTGAACTATCCAATTAAGATTCTCTAAGCATTTTGAAAAGAAATTGTCATTTGTTTTTTTGATTGGTTATTTATTTTGCATAAGGGTTGACATTCCTGCTCTCTATAATAATCTGGATGCCTCCCAGGACACCACAGTCTTTTCACAGTGTACTCAGAGTCAGGAGGAGTCCATGTACGTATTGGAATCATGGTTTTGCTTTTACTCCAGTTTTTTTACCCACTGTATTAAAACATGTTTCTTCTTAGGGACAAATTGACAAAAGATGAAAGCGATCAACCTGAGGAAGAGGCTAAGGTGCAGCTGAAGGTAAAACGGCAATTTTCAGACTCTGGCACTGCTGATTTGATTATGTGGGGGATATGCGTGCATGCTTTCTCTTATGTGTATTAATTGGTTTTAATGTTGTTTCCTCCCCCAAGGAGATTACCACAAGTGATGAACCATCCCCAGATGTTAAAGTAACCCAAGAAGGCACCAGATCAGACGTAGAAACACCAGAGAAATCTGTGCAAAATAAAGATCAAACTTTAGAGAAGGATCAGTCTCCATCCAATGGCATCACAGTTGATGCGAGTGGGCATGAGAAAAGTGGACTAGAGGGGACCAGCCCTAATGTTTCGGGTTCATCTGATATGATATCAGGTACACCTCCTAAACCCAATAGCAGACGTCAATCGTTTGTTACCACAAGTGAAGAACCATCCACAGATGTTAAAGTAACCCAAGAAGGCACCAAATCAGACGTAGAACCATCAGAGAAATCTGTGCAAAATAAAGATCAAACTTTAGAGAAGGATCAGTCTCCATCCAATGGCATCACAGTTGATGCAAGTGGGCATGAGAAAAGTGGACTAGAGGGGACCAGCCCTAATGTTTCGGGTTCATCTGATATGATATCAGGTACACCTCCTAAACCCAATAGCAGACGTCAATCGTTCATAACATTAGAGAAATATGTTGAAGGGAAATCAAGTCCTGCAACTGTTGCATTTACTGGTCCACTCACCCGGAAATCAGGTAGACTGGATTCTTCAAAGGAATCAGAGTGCACGCCAAATGACTCACAACCTCAGACTACAAAAGAGGATTCTCAGAAATCTCAAAAGATAAGCAGCACTGACCCATCTGCTCAAAATGAGAAAGCTGGGGAAGAGGCAAAAGATGAGATTAAGTCAATGGGAGGTCATCCTTGTGAAGGTACTGATGAGGAAGAGGATGATGTGGTCCCTGACACCCAGACCCAAGTATCTAGTGAAGCATCAGGTGTTAAGAGCAGTCCTGTGTCCAAAGCCAGCATGGAGGAAGACTCTCCTGAAAAAGATTCACAAAGTCTTGCTAATTCTCAATCTAGTCAAGAACCAAGAAGGTCGAGCAGACGGCGAAGTAAACCTGTTCGCCCAGGGGAAGATCCAGGGGAGATGAAAAGCAAAGAACAAGTCAGTCAGGTTGCAGACTCAATGACAAATACACAGAAGTCAATACTAACGCCACCAAGTAGCACTTTAACTGGAAGAAGAATTAAGGTTCTGGAGGACAGTAAAGTTGAAGGTGACCTGCAGAAAAGTAAAGGGATGAAAGGAGAGCTTAGCCAAAGTGGTTCACAGATTTTCTCTGCAGAGTCTTCACAGGCACTTCCACGGGTAAGTCAAGCTGAGACTTCTCACGAAAGTTCACCTGTAGCCCAATCGGATAGCCAAAGCAGAGAGAGACTGCCAACTCTCAATGAGTCTAAAAGTCTGTCATTGGGTAGACCTACGAAGAAGACTAGAACACAACATGACGAATCCACAGACAAGGAGGCAGATGAAAACTCTCAAAATGATTCTCAAAATGCCACATCCTCTTTGAAAAAGAAACATTTACAGACACCTCTTTCTGATTCTGAGGCTGATGGCCAGCAATCTGTACGAACACGAAGAACAAGGAGATCTGAATCTCAATTACTGCAGACCAAAGAAGATTCGAGTCAGACAGATTCCCAAACAATGACAAAGATGAAGGGAAGAGCTATGAGGAGGAGAACTGCAGAAGAAGAGAACGACTCTAGTAGAGATGTTACATCAACTGTAAATGCTGAGGAGTTAAGTGCAAGCCAATATTCCTCTCAAGGGCTTGGTAGATACAGAACTCGACGATCTAAAGGTTTGTTGGCTGCCGACAATATGGAGTCTGAAACCCCTGATAGCCAAGAAGATGGGCCAAGGCCTAAAAAGAGACTGCGGAAACCCCTGTCAACTGAGGTGCTACCAGTTGCCACAGAACCTAAAGTTACTGAGATGCTGCCAGATAAGGAGGATGCTAATATTCAATCAGAAGTCTCAATGGAGATGTCACAGGATGAGGTGGATCCTGAAGCTAGTTTGGGAATTTCAGTTAGTGAGACCAATGAACTTAAGAAAAACAAAACAGAGATTCCTTCCCCTTATAGTGTACCACATGAACAGATCAGCTCTGAAAAAGGAGCAGAAGATGACAAAGTTGAGACAAAATTGAAAACTGAAACTGATGCAGAATTAAAAACTGAAACTGTTACCGAAGAAAAAGAGATTATCAGTGATAAGGGAGAGGGTGAAGAAGCAAATTCATCTTCACAGGCTGGATCAGAAGATTTAAAGTTTGGCAGTTTGCGTAAATGCCCACATACCAGGGGACGGGGCCGTGGACGTAGGCGATCTAGAAGCTGCAACTGCTTTTTAAACAACCAGGAAGTGTTCTCACAGGGCAGTGACGTCCAAGAATCAAAGGATCTGAAAAATGAGCAGGTTCCACTTGCTGTTGTCACACCGAACTCTCAACCTGAGCATGAGCAGGTTCCACTTGTTGTTGACACCCTGAACTCTAAACTTGAGCAGTCAAGCCCAACATCCGTATTGGAGGAAAGCAAGAGCTCACCAATTGTAGATTTACCAGTTGCTGATGTTCAGCCGTATTCAACCTTGCCTGCTCAACTCCCATGTGAGGTTTTGTCTTCTGAAAGCCCCATTACAAAGCTTGGTGTAATTGTTTCTCAGCTGTCTGAAGCAGAGGAAGGAGCACAGCTTGAATTATCCAACCTGAGGGATGAATCAAACAATGTGTTTGTAAAAGTCCTGGAGGTAGAGTCAAATCAGTTTGAGAGTTCTGGGTGCACAGATAGTCCAAAGCACAACAAAGAATTAGACAACCCTTCAGTAAGTCAAGAACCTCCCCAGAGTTCAACACCTCAAGACACCTCTCCTAGTCAAGGTCGCCCAGTGGAAGATGCACCTATATGCCAAGAGCAACTAGAGTCTTCCCATGTCCATCAGGAGGATGCAGTGAAGGAAAGTGAAGACCTTGCTGTTCCAGAGCCGAGTGAAGAAAAGGTTGTGTTGCTAGAAGAGTCAAATGGCAAAGAATTGCTTGACAAGGATGTTGGTCATATCGAGAAGGATGAAGACACTCAGATTGACAACCGGGCTCTTTCTGCTGATATACAAGAGTTGTCTGTACCACCTCAAAGTAGTACCTCTAAAGCCTGCTTAGATTCTCCACCCAAGCCTAAACCTTTAGACGCTCTCAGTGGTGAGCTAGAGCCTGGTCAGAGCCCGAGCAGAAACCGATCTCGTGTCTGGTCTCCATCCGCTTCTCCATCTACCAGTATTCTGAAGAAGGGACAGAAGAGAACATGTGAAGAAGATACCCCATCCCCCCTTCAAAAGGTATTGGACAGTATTCTTAATTTGAGTCCAGTTATCTAAATGTTCAATGAAACAGCTGTAATGTAAGCTTATAGTGGTTTCATACAAAGAGAAAATCATCTATGTAACGTTGTTGTTGTGCAGTCTCGTCGAGTGTCTTTTGCAACTCCAATTTACCATCAAGAACTGGCTGATGATATTGATCGACGTAGTCCGGTTATTCGCACAAGCTCACCTAGGTCAAAAGTCTTGAGTGGACAGTCGAAGGTGTGTGATAAGAGTTTTGAAATTATTAGATCTAGATGTAAAACTGTGCTTGAATTGTTTTTACATTTCTTTCATGGCCTGTTGTTAAATGTCTTCATACAGTATATCACTACACCCACAAAAGGCTATTCGAGTCTAAGTCCACGTAACCTCCGTAGCCCTGGATCCAAAAGCTCTAAAAAATGCCTGGTAAGTACTTTAGTACTCTTGCAATGTACTAAAATTTTTTATTCTGTTTATTTTAATCTCATACAGTCTACTTATTCAAATCATTTATTTATCAAATTCAAAGCAATTAAGACAATGTGAAAGTTGCTAATGTTTGATACAGTTCATGTTAGAGGTTGAACGACTTTAGATTTTTTGAAGTCGACTGTTATGACATCAAAGTCGAGTCGACGTCGACTAGTCGCTGACGTCATTCATAAAAACACAAATGAGACTGCTGTGCAACATGCCACAATTTGCAATTTATTAGCAGAAAATTATACAGATGCTGACAGACAGCTCATATTGGGGCTGTTTACACCTGGCCACTTCGTGCGCTTTCTCAGATCGGATAGCTATCTGATTTATCAAAACGACTCCATTTACACCTGGTCACATAAATGTGTTTTCGCAAAACGGATATAAATCCAATCTTCAAACCCCGCGCTATATGCAGATTTAATGGAGTGCACGTCACCGAAAGCAACAGTTCGAGTTGCATTTTATTGATCATCAGCTAAAATTCAAAATCAAAGACAGCAATAAGAGAGAGCGGCAACAGCCCTGGTAAGATCATTTTGTTTCTATACTTTCAACGAAGATGATTGTGTGTTAAGCGTCTGCGACTTACTTTCACTTTGATTTGCGATAGTGCACGTTGGCTTGATGAATAGATGCTCATCTGCGGTGATGCGTGTTGCCATAGCTTCGTCATATCTTACTATAACATGACATATAGCCTATAACGCTCTCACACGTTTATTTTTAGCATTGTTGGGAGGAGACGAGGAGTCCAATTTACATATGTGGTTTCAACAACCAGATACATTTACACTTGTCCACCAGTTTTGTCTGGAATGCGGCCCAGATCTCCTCCTGAAGTGGTTTGGGCGATCGGATTTAAATCCGTCTCGAATGCGTTTCGGAGGGAATTTAACTCCTGGTCTTTTCACGATTGGATAGCTATCAGATAACAGAAACATATGAAGTGGCGAGGTGTAAACAGCCCGCTGTTTACATCATCATTTAGGATGAAAAGAAAAAAAAAAGCTATAAATTCACATCTGCGTGTTAATGATTCGCAGATCCAAGTAATACAAAATAATATTCCAATTAATTGCGGGTGAATTCGAGATAAATAATTAATGTTTAAATAAATATATGAAAAAAATAATGTGTTGATTTTAATAAAGAGACTGAACTCTCATTTCCCGATAAAACACAATGAGCGTGCGTTTTCAACAATATCAAGTGTTAAGTTAGTGAAGTATTTCCACGCAATTGATGAACCACTGCTGCTTTCTTGCTGCAACGACCCTCTGGGCTCTTCATATGCTGTCGTCTGCAACGCGGCCATGTTGTTAGTATCAAAATAGCGCAATCATAGTGTCACATGATCAACGCGACTAGTCGACGTCAAGCTTAAAGCGTCACGGCATTGCATTAAAGTCGACTAATCGACTAGTCGGTTCAACCCCTAGTTCATGTTATTTAGTTTGAGCGGTACCTCCAATGGAAATGGTGTTAAAATGTTCCTGTTTCTTTATCATAGATTTCGGAAATGAGCCAGGAGCCACGTCCTATTGCTAAAGATTGTGTTTATCCAGCACTTGTTGGCTGCTCTACCCCTGTAGAGGCAGTTTTACCGCAGATATCCTCCAACATGTGGTAAGCCAGATTTCCTCTTCACTAGGGTTTGGGTTCAGTTTAAGGTCATTTCTCATTTTTAATTTACTGACATTTTTAGAGGATTTGGTGAACTCCTAATACATTAGTTTTTTCTTCTTCTTTGATATCTGTAGTAAGAATGTAACTAATTGCTGTTTATTTCTCTGTATGTTCAGGCCTCGTGGCTTTGGCCAACTTGTTAGAGCCCGGAACATTAAAACGGTTGGAGATCTGAGTGCCCTTACCCCTAGTGAAATCAAGTCCCTTCCTATTCGTTCACCTAAGCTGTCCAATGTGAGGAAAGCACTTAAAACCTATTATGAACAGCAGGTAATGTGTAGCTTATTTAAATAGTGTCTTACACTTTATTATGGAAGATCATTCTTACACCTCAAATTTGGCTGTACAGAGAAAAGGGCGTTCTGATGACCTCAAGAGTTTTGACGAAATGGAGAAAATGACATCTGAGCCTGAAGAGATGGAGCTTCCTCAAAACCAAGATGAGGAGCAAACACCAGGAGAGGCTCAAGGTAACCCCACCCCAATCAAGTTCATTGGTGATACATAATACATATTGATGACTTGCCTCATTACTTTTTTCTCCGAACTTTTGCCAGATGACAAACCATCAGAAGCGGGAGTAGATTCAGGACTGATGGCTGAGGAGAACAAATCTAATGATTTGCTCTCAGATGTTGTAGCCCTTGGTGGACGCTTAACTTCAGAGGAACTTGGTCACTGTTCACCCAACCAGTTGGGCCTGATGCACGAACATCTGAGCGGAATGATGAGAAGCATTGTGACCCATCTGCAGTCCCGCTTGCTGAGTAATCTTGATGATAGCTTGCCATAAGGACATTGAGACATTTTCCTGACACAAGAATTCACTTTTAACTTGAATATTAACAGTGGACTGCTCATCCCTCAAGTTTTAGCTTGAATTTTAGAGTAGATGTATTTCTAATTATGCTCTCTCAGAGAATAGACTTAAATGGTCAAAATGGCCATTTCCATTGCTACTTAAGTGTCTGTGTATTTTATGGAGTGATTTTTAAGACTGTAAAATTGTACGGAGATGCCAAGGAACCTTTTTTTTTTAAAATAAAACTATAATATTAATCATTTGTTTTCATTTAACATTTGTTGCATTTTTTCCCAGTCTTTTATTCAAACCACAAAATTGCAAATTAGATGATTTTTGTTGCCAAAGACACTGGCTTGATGATATTTTACAATGTTTAATTTAACAAATACATTAGTTAAAAAAAAAAACTAACAATGGACTGCTTCTACAGCATTTAGAAATTAACATTAAGATTAAAACAAATACATTTTAGAAATCGCAATGTATTTTTTTTAGCATGCACTGTGAAAATGAACATGTAAATAAATGAAATTGTATTTTTACTTGACGTTAGCAATAAGCAATTTATTTTTACAGCATTTATTAAAGGTAGGTTAGGCAGTTTTGGAGAGGCTAGCAATAGCAAGCTAGCTTTGAAAGCATGAGATCCCACCCTCCCTTTATAGCCAAAGCCATGCCTCTTCCAAAACATAAACGCACAGCAGAGTCTGCTAAGTGTAATGAGACCTGGGGCTTATACCATGAAGCCAGTTTAGGTGGCTAGCCTGATATGTTTCAATTTAGTTTGCGCCAACCTTGGGTTTTAGGCACCATGAAAGTGGTTTGGCTTTTAGCAGTGTTCATCGCCATAGTAATTTGCGCTCAATGGCTAACCTGGTCCGGGTCAGGTAAGGGGTTGCAAACCGAACTTGGACCAATCAGCAGTGAGCAAAGTGACATGTCTGATGCTGTAAAGTCACTCCACCTGTTTCCACTCGAAGTTATAAATCAAATAGATCCCTACGGTCCTCTGATCAGTCACTTTTAACGATCCCTAGATCCAGATTTAAACATAGGGGGGATCGTGCTTTCTCGATCGCTGCCCCGAAACTTTGGAATCTGTTACCAGTTCACATTAGATTGGCTCAGACTATTTCCAGTTTTAAATCATTACTGAAAACCCACCTATTAACTCAGGCGTTTAATTCCTCTGGGTGTTGAGGCTAAATCCTCTGTTGTTGTCCTATATGTATGTGTGATGTCTATGTATTTTACTTTTTATTAGGGGTTCAAGGACTTCAGTGCTGAAACCCTATTGTTATTGTTAATTTTCCCATCATGCAACATTCTCCATGTAAAACTGATCGGGCAGGACGAACCGTAAGTCGTAGAGACTTGAAACTTTGGGGGCTGGTATTACTCACACCGCCTACAGCCTCACCAAGGCACGCCCCGATTGGCCCATAGGTGGCGCTACAGCGGGCAAAAGTACGAAATGGCTCATAACTCCTCAACCGTCGGGCGTAGGCTCAAGTGTCTTACATCGTTGGAATCCTTGGCTCGAGCCGGACAAGATGCATACCTCCGATTGGCTCGCCCTTCAGGCTCCAATTTCGAGTAAATTGCGTTTTTGTGTAAAACCTACTTTTGCAAACTACTCCTAGGTTTTTGGCCTGATCGGAACCAAACCACTGCAGAAATATTCTCTGGAGTCCGATTGTCAATAATCATAAAAAAAAAATTTCAATTTCAATTGTCGGTTGCTAAGGGGAACCAAAACGTTTGATGGCACCAGAGCCACTTTTACTTAAATGGTTATAACTTGTGAACGGAAAGAGATATTTTCGCTAAATTTGGGACACATGTTCATGAGCACAATCTGAGGTGGCATGAAAAAAATTGCGACGATTGGCCACTTTGTGGCGCTATAACATGGAAAAAAATCATGACAATGGTTATAACCGCATCCAAACGTTAGTCTAATGAAAGATGGCATGCAGTGTCTTTGTCCAGGGTACCTTGATAGTCTATGAGAACATTGGTGTAGCTAAAAAAACTCAGTATACGTCATCGGCAAAATGCCCTGAAGGAGCCTGAGACTTTTCAAGCCAGCGTTTTTTCACGGGAGTGACCTCCTTATACTCCTGCTGAGTCCAACAATACCAAACATGCCAGGTTTTGCCTTTTGGTTTTGTAACGTGTCATTTAGAGCTTAAAAAGAATTACTGTTATCTTCAAAGACCATTAGTCCGATCGAGACAAAAAAAAAAAAAAAATACAGGCAATTTGAAAACATAAGTAAATAGCTAAACAATAATGCCCAAATGTCAAAATTATGATAGGAACTGAAAAAAAAAAAATCCAATCAATATCACCGATGCATAATTTTTATGCTCTCATAAATATAAGTGTCTCAACTTCAAAACAAAATGAGATATTTACAACAAATTTGAGACATGTATATGGGCACACTTTTAGGACTACTAATAAAAGTGGTGCAGATCAGGCAGGTCAAGCTGCTATAACTGTCAAAAAAAAAACTTACAAAAAATATCATTCCTTAGTAAATTGCCTGTATTGGCTGTAAATGGTCTTTCCTATGATCTAAGATCATTTATTTATTTATTTGGATCCCCATTAGCCAGTACAGAGGCAGAGGCTTCTCTTCCTGGGGTCCCAACAATTAAATACAACTACATTTAATCAAAAAAATAAAAAGTTAAGTCAATTAACCTAACATTCATTCCAAATATCAAAATCATCAATTTACTATATATAGTGCTTTTAAATGTTCCTTAAAATATTTTTTAAAACTCATTTTTCTTGTGTAGAGTGTCTCTTGTCAAAATGTGTAATATCAATGGTAAATCCTTCAATAGTTTCATTCTTCTTTACATTATACAGTCCGATGTTTTGCAGTGGTTTTCGAAATAAAATAAAAATCCCATTTATGCATGCCTGCTGTTAAAATCATGACTAGCACTACTATACAAAAATTGAGAGTATCGGAAATTAGAAATTCTAGACACAGAAATATTTCTTCAGAGACAATCTTTCACCTGTACATTTTTTGTCTATATGCACTCGACCAAACAACTGGGCAATAATCTAAGCTAGAACCATTGTTTTAGAAATACATTTGTAACCCAGGCCACCAGTAAATGACTTGAGAGTTGGAAAAAGTTAATAAATATAAAGAATTAAAGTGTTCTACAAAGAAACGCGATTCATCCAATCACTGATTGCGCTGCATTGACTGACAGCCCTAAGAACCAACAGTAGCGGCATATTCATTAGGCCCGCCTACAGTTCGCGCCGGTGCCGTCGTCAGCATTCAACAGACGGAATCAGATGAGAACAGGTCAGACAATGCAGCAGCACACGGAGCATTTCTCCACAAACTTCTTTCACAAAATCATAATCGAACGGGAACTGTGATTGAGTGCACTTGGAAACTTTGGATATGTCAGGCTGGTGTGTTGTCATAGAGAGAAAAGTGGAGTGGAAATCTGTATTGAATTTGGTTTTGGTGAGTGATTTTTTTAAAATATTAAATCTGAATATAAAAAGACATGAAAGATATAGCTAGATATGTCAATTTCAGAAATGATTTGATATGAGTAGGCCGCACTCACAGCGCGAGCTGAGCTAGTTAGCTAAAGCTACCACGTGTAACGATGCTTATTGTATCATGAGTTGAGACAATGAGTGATTCATGAGTGTTGATCTGTTCTATAAATGTCGATAAGTTAGATTAATGTGTCATTTGAGATGCGCATACTTAATTATTGTACGTTTGTCTTGTGTTTTGCAAGGCTGTGTTTCCTTGTTCTGTTTTTTCCTATGTGAACGTGATCCACAAGTATCCTGTTTTGAAACTATCTACTGGTAAAGATGTTTCCAATTTTCTTTTGTTTTTTACGGACTCAAAGGACTTTGATTCATGGGATTTAGTGATTGATTGGTTTATTTTTGCTTCTGAAATGGACAGACTTTGTTTTTTGTACTTGAACTGATCGGAGAAGTTTGAACAACTCTTTAAACTGAATCCTTTGATTCACAAACTTTGTTCAACTGAGTCGTTTTATTCATGAACTTTGTTCAACTGAATCTTTTCATCTTTCCAGCATTTCCAATTCATATTGTGGAACATACTGTTTACTATTGACAGTAAATGTGTTTATTGGAAGGAATTCTGAATCATTGTGTTTTGAGTCGAATCCAATATCTGATTACATTTCTTTTTTTACATTTCATCATTCATTCATCCCAAAATAAATGACTAGTCGTTAAGGCTGTAAGGTTAGTCAACCAGAGAAATCCTTAGTCAACCAAAGTCCTGTCCTGTACAACGATCAGTAAAAAAAAAAAAAAAAAAGTGACGTTTTGCATTTTTATTGAACATTTATTAAACAATTGTCATAGAGCATTTATAAAACAACAACGAAAAATCAATACTACATAAAACTATAATAATAAAATTACTTGAAAAGTGATTTTAGTAGTGATTTTTTTTAACTGCAAAGTGAGAAGTTCTGTCCTAGATCTATAGTGTCACAATCACGCACCTGATCACACCACACGCTACAAAAAATATAACTGCTAAAACTGCCAAATAATGAAAAATCATAACAAAAGCTCTAGTTTATACTGGTGTATATTCTTCTTTACTTTCAAAGCTTTGGGTTAACTTTTGTTCAGCCGATCTAGGCATTTTAAAACACACAAACCCAAATAGCCTAAAAAACAATCCTAATAATTATAGCCTGTATAGTAGGAAGGCATATAGGTTTATTTTCATTTTGTTACATTATTTAGGCTATTTTCAAACGCGTCAAGTGTACAAATAAAAACAAAAACATAAAACACAATCTATTGAGTGAGTCTAATAAAGCCGTTAAGGCTACTTACAGATTTGCAGGCCTAGTCCACCTTTTTTAGGTTGTGGACCAAAAACACTAACATGTCCACATTCTTGGGTAAAAGACAGCTCCTCGACTTAACAATAAATCCTGCTTTGGAAAATATGTGCTCTGCAGGAATGGAGGTTGCAGGGATGCAGAGCAGGCGTCTTTTGCGCTTAAGTACGTTATTTCAAATGTAGGCGCACGGCATGCGCGCTCATAATGGAAGCGACGCGCTCATTTTTTCCAAGCGCGTTCGCGTCGCATCAAGATAAAAACATCTTAACTTTTCAGAATGCTGCAAGCGCACCGTAGGTCACGTGACAAGAACCTTAACAACAACAAGCT